GCGCTAGACAGGAAGTACACGGATGAGATAGGGCGAATTGTTATGTCGCGGTTGCTTACGTGAAAATCAAGATCTTGAGCGATAACATGGGGTAAGACACGCCTAAACATAGTTTCAAATAGCAAGAAAAATATGCATTAAAAGGTTGGATTTGGGATCTTGTGTCAGGAGGATGGGGAGTTTTCGACGCCTTCCCAGCTGGTGAAGCACCCTGAGTTACTACATAGTCCTTGAATGAGCTCCATGAGTCGGCAAACAAAAGTGCTAGAGCCATCCCATTGATCACTACGACCTCACCAATCCTGCATGAGCTTTTTGTTCAGCTCCGGGATTCACTTGCCCTGCCCTCCGAAATGGATGCGAAAGCAATTTTCAGCCTGACCGTCTATTGAGTTTTTTCTAGAAGACAGTGTGTGCGAAATCTTATCCACAGAGTTTCGAGCACACTAATTTGCATTATCTAATATTTCTTCTCTAGGCGGCCATTAGCAAAGAGAGTCGGAAGAGAGTGACAGTAAAAGAGTGGGACGTTGCTGGAACCGACTGAATTTTGCCATAACTTCTCCGGTCGGCTTCTAGGCTAAACTCCAAAGTTTGACAGATCGATTCTCGCTTTACATCTGATTTCTGCAGCCACGTAGGTCGTGGTAAATGGTCGAAAATTCTTCCAAGTTTTATCGACTTTCGCTAATGGTGTTTCGTCGTGAAACAGCTCACCCTGCGTTTCATGCACAAAAAAGCGTGACTTCTTTTAGCACTCGAGCGATAAAAGGTTATCGTCTCCTCTACCTGCATCATAAAATCAAAGATTATGGGCGGAAATATAGAGTTGAGATCTACCTTTTCTTTTGAAACCTCCATATTCCCAAAAGGGAACGAGGCTCCCTCTCGAAATTGCCAGGTCGCTCGTCGTCGTCGCTACTATCTGGTCACCAGAGAGGATCACCATGATCGTCTTCTACGCAATCGTCACAGTCGTATAAGGCATAATGACGAAGCTGTTGTGGAATACATACGTACTTTGGACGGAAGCTCTTTATTACCTTTTATTTTTTCCTAGATGGTGCTTGCATTGTATCGCAGGAACCATCTTCCTCTAGCAAAAGAGATGGCACAACTTTCCTACAGAACATCCTGCCGGTATTATGTGGAAGAGAGCTTCGATTCAATAAACAGTGTGACAACTTGCTGTCCAAATATTCAGAAAACTATCAAGATTCGTAGGCCGTTTTTGAGCAGAGCTTTCAAAATTTCTCTTTACTAAGCTTGAAGTGGGCCGTTTTCGACAGCAATGGAGGGCAAAAAACTCTTTCTGTATGCATTCCAGTACTCTTTAAATGTGAAGAAAATCTGTATGTGGTGAATATGAAGCGTAGAAGTTATGCAAGGACATATTTTGTGAAGAAGCAAAGCGAGCAAGGATCCAAACTTGCATGCACGTCCTGAGGATGCGCCACCCTACCAGCAGCTTACTCGATTCGCTTACAAAGGCGACACGGTGGTATGACACAGGGAAAAAATGGTTCGGTAACCCTGATCCCAGAATCGTTTAGCAGATTTGGAAGTTGAACTTGAGATCACCATCCGGAAAAACTTGCGGCCGTATACATCTCGTCTCGAAGGGCCACTGCTCCCTAGTATCGTTCCCTTGTGAAACCTTAGACTTCACATTAGACAACAGAAGGAAGTAAGGGAGTGACTCGCGAAGAGAAACAGCTGGAAGGCACCTACTAACGGTCTGGGCTGCTCGCAGCACGGTCATATGGGAGTACTCTCGAAAAGATAAGTTTTGAACGGTTGCGACAGCTGTATAACTGTTGCAGCCATGATGAATTTGGAGTACAACGCGATTACTACAGATATAATTCTTGACAAGAGACTGTGTTTTGCAGTTGAATCTGCAAGTCATTTTCTTCGTTACTTCGAAGACATTGAGGATGTTGAGGGCCAGTTAATAATTATGAATAACACTGGTATCAAGAACCTTGCATTTCTAAAGTCTCTTCTCAGAGTATCCGATTACACAACTAAACGTAAGTTTTTGTTCTTGATCTCGTTCGTTCTACAGTCCTACCTTCAAATGTAATCGGAATAAGAAAACATAACTCTTCTCCAGTCCTGTGCAAGCGATTCGTCATAGTAATATCCATCTTTTCAGGCCCAATTTTTCGGATTGCGGATAACCCTAATTTGACCTCAATAGAGCCCCTACATAAAGTTGAGCTCGACTATTCCCCTTATGAGGTGCATTTGGCTGCTCTTATCGAGACTTATTCGAAGATAAGCGACCACGAACAGAAAGAGCTAGGAACACAAGGAAGAGTCGAGTTCCGCGTGAAAGAAAGGTGCGCTTTCTTACGTTTACCGTTCTACTCCGTTTATTTAGATGGGCGAGCGTGCTGCTAGCTCGGTCGCACTCATCTTACGTTGGAATTTACGTAGAATAAGAATTTAGACTGAAGAGGAATTTGGCATCGTATTCCATACGCTTTATGACGATCCTTAACACGAATGTTAGCATCTATAGGGCAGAACAATCAGCATAGAGGTAGGGGAAGCAGAGGGCAGGAAGCGTGAGTACGACGTTGAAGCTGATCGAGCAGCTCTCTAAGCAAATTTTCAAACTTTCCTCAAGTGTTTAGATCGAAGAAAACTTATTTCGGTAGGAAAAATAGACGTATTCGGAAAGACCTTATGGGCAACAAAAGGTATAAGATAGGCGATGGCATCGAAAAGAGGGTGTAAAAGATGAAAACAAAGAAAATGAGAACGTCAGGCCGTCAGCTAACCTTCAGAAGAGAGAAGTGCAAACAGAAAATGTGGCAGATAAAGAATTATAAAGTTGGTGGATCCTGAAAGGAAAAGAGGGAATTAGCCTCTCGAAAAAAAGAGAAGTTCAGTGATAGTAACATGTACATATTGTCAGCGATCTTTGCAACACTGTTTGCGTTCAACGCTTGGTTCCACTGGGAAAGATTTCTACTGCTCTGGCCTGGTAGCAGTCGCTGGACTCTTCTGATAGGATTGGCTGCTTTCATAGTCCGCCGGCCGGCCAGCGTGCCGGCGGAGGGAGTGCTAGGGGGGAGGAGGGAGGCTGACAGTGTAAGGCAAACAGTCCACCTCCCTTCGAAGACTGTTTGTTTTCAACCCCTCAAAGGGGCGTGGACTGTTTGCCTATCTGTCTGCCTCCCTCCTCCCCGCTAGCACTGCCTCCACCGGCACGCCAGCCGGCCGGCGGACTATGAAAGCAGCCATTTGATTTCGCTAACTCTGGGATTATAGGCTGCATCCAACTAAGGGAAGGAGATCGAAGAAAAAAGGAGATCGGAAAGAACATGCCGACAATTTGGGTGTAGGTGGGTTCTTTAAAAAAGTTACGATTACAGATTTTGTTTCTTTTAATCTGTTCAAAGTGTCATTCCGAAGTGCATTGGAGTGAATCGCAGTAGAAATGGTGCGATATTGAGGAAATGATGATAAGGCCCAGTTCTGAAGCATATTACATCTGTTTATTTGAGGTTCTGAAATAGATTAAACCCTTTGGAAACTAAGAGGGAAAAGCAGATTAAGAAACTGATCAAAACGCGATTTATGGACAAAACTTCAGTCTCTGAAGGGAATCGAAACCGTACTTGTGCTTTCAGGGCACAAGCACTGATTCGAGTCCCGTCCGAGACTAAAGTTTTGTCCATGAATCGCCATCCCTGTGAGACTTTCGTATTGCGTACTGCGGCGATATAACAGCAGTTGATAATGTCAAAACGAATTGATTATAACTATGAAAAAGCCGGCGTTAAATTATTTGTCTCTGTAGATTAGTAAGAGTTTTATCACTGCAGTCTTTTCAATTACGGCTGTGCTGGTAGAACCCGGTTTAGTTTATTCGCTGTGGGATAAACACACCCGCCGCGGGCTTTTTGCTGCTATGCTTTGGAAATAAAGTTACTTTGTAGTTTTGTTTTAAATTAATAGCATCCCCATAAGTTCAAGAGCAACATGTGCTGGTCAACGAGGGCGTACTTTTTAACAAGCTTTGGTTATTGTAGGAATAGCACTCTCCGTTGGTGGGTGCCTGATAATCATAATATTTGGATATGGATATTCATTCTTCGCCTATCTTCGGGAACAGCGTGAGCTTAAAAGACAGCAGGTACTCGATGAATTCTTCCACTTCATGAAGATTATTGAAAGTTCAAGTGTTGTTTAGCAGCCAGGAGGAGGTCAAGCAGCCCCGGTAGAGCGAGCACCGTGATGTTGATACCAGAACGTCAGTCCTCCGAACCGGATTCGTCGTGAAGCCTTGTTACTAAATTTTTGCAGAACACGACATATGAACGTCTATTTTTACAAGTAGATGTAGCCCGAGATTGTGTTGTTATTTCTTGTTCATTGTTGTTCGTTCTGATCTTATAATAAATTTTATAATATGATCTATTGAGAATATTATGTGAGTACGAAATCGTGTAAACTTTACTCAAATTTCCTGAAAGAACTTATTCGACCTCAATCACCCTTCCCATATGAGCTTACATATTCTCCTTGAAGGTCTTACATATCGAAAGAATGGCGATCTCGATAAAAGTAGGGAAAAGCAGCTGACTTCGGGGCAAGGTTCCCTTTTTATTGTCGGATATGGTTTATCTTTTGATCCCTGTTTAGCATCCATTTAGAGATCATTAAATTGAAAGCAGCTCGAGGTTTGATGACCACTTAATCGATGCTGGAAAAATGCTGAACTCTTCTTGTTCCTCTCCTTCTAATGGGTAAATCTTGCTAGTCCCAAGGTGCGTTGTATTTCTTGGTTAGCTTTTTCGTTACCTTGGCTGCTTGATCACGTCCCTTCACCTTCTCTTTAGAGCTCCTTCGGATTCTATCGCTTTCTTGGAAGAACCACTTCTTAGCAGCAAGAGTCCATTCTATTATTCTATCTTCAGTTAGACAGAGATTGCCTGAATAGTTTTAGGTACTCGGCGCTTCATACAGCCGCGTCCAACCACAGGCTGATCTCCATATCCTTATTTTGCAAGGTCAAATTACATGCCTTTCACGATGATCCTTCGGTCACTCACTCTCTGCCGTAGAGCATCGTGAATTTCGCCACCGATCTGTTCAGCTTTTCGTAGCACAGTCGGTCGCAAAGGATGCCAATGGACCTCTCTACGTCATCCATAGAGCGTCTATTCAAGCCTTCTACATCTGGCCCACACACACCACTACTAGCGACCACGTACTCCTTGGTTATTGAAGGTGTTGTACTTTTCCACGGAATTTACCATAGCAGCCTAGGTGGTGGTTTTATGTGCTCCCAAGAGCTGCAAATGTTGGTGTTCTTTACCCTTAGCCAGAGCCCATTTTATGTCATACACTCTGCCATTTTTACAGCCATCTTGAGTTCTTCTTCGATTTCTGTTTTAAAAGAATTGTCATCAGAGTCTGTTCACTCGTAGGGTTAATATGATTAGGCACCTACTCAGAACGAATCCATGTGTTGCTGTTTTGGAGCTATTGCGCAGGTCTCTGACCAGTGAGATCTGGAGGGAAAACTCACGATAAAAGTGGTTTCTGTCAGAGCTACTTCTGATGAACTTGCGGCGTCTTTACCGTCAGTGGAACTGCCAGTTTGGTAAACTGCCTGCATAGGACGTTATAAGAGCTCAGAGATTGTGTCAGTTGAATACCATACCCGGTTTATTTTCAACGGCGTTGTAGAGGTTGCACCATCTCAAGGAACTCTCAGGCGGGAAATTCGAAACGCTAGAAAAGACCTATGACGAGGGTGAAAGAGAGTTCTAGATATTTTTGCTTTAATGTAGGCATTATCAAAGCATATCTGAATCTCGTCCAAATACCCCTTTCTATTCACTCTCGTCATGCTAGTCTCGTACATCTTTTTTCACTAGTTTCAGTAAGTCTTCTTTCTCACGGAGTAGCCGAATTTTTCTGCTTTCTTCACCACCAGTGCACTATTCCCCACCATCTTTTCCGTTTCCGACTCAAAAACTGTACCCCAGAATTGTCGTGAACTGTGCCTTTACCAGTTGCGCAAAATGTCGGCGACACGATTACTCGTCCTCTCTCATCGGAGTTCTGTCCCAGTGTAGAGTACCTTGGGAACCAATTATATCTGAGCTACGTCTTTGAGTGTACTGGAAGGTTCCGTTCTTCTAGCATTCTTCAGACCACTGGTCGCAGGAAGTGCTTGAGTGCTTCCGCTAGAGCGAACGAAACTTGTTGGCAGGACGTGCGTTTCTCTCTCGCTTCTTCTCCATCGACTGCATAGCGATGATAATGGTGTTTAGTGTACTATTTAGTGTGACCCTTCAAGGTCTGAAATTGAACTGCTCTCATGATAGAGGCAAGCTCCATGAATTTCAAGCAGATTAGTCACTCATATAGTTTCATAGTATGCGCAATGAACATTATTCAACAAGAGAAACATTGATTAGCACTTCCGTTCAGGGATGGAAACGATAGAACTGCTTCTCCGCGCATGCAGATTCATCCTTCATTAGTCACTGTGTTCTGGAACAGGGCGAGACAGCCGAGCTTGTGCTCCCCGAACACCTTTTGTGCCTCAGCCGATGTCCAATAAAGACCCAATGGTTCTACAGATTTCATCATCTTATCCTTCGGAAGTCACTGAAGCCTTTTGTGTAAAAGACAGGAAACTGTGACTCATGGTAATCATTGACTGCCGTTTTCATATCATGTTTTGTTACGAACTTTTTTTCCACAGAGAAATGTTCAAGAAAGCAATCAAAAAGAACAACGTTCCTTGAGTACGCTAATGAGCAGCCTAGTACCAAGCAGGGTCGATTAATTTTGAATACCAATTTTGCAGCAGCTTTAGCAACTCTTGCATTTTTCGTACAAAGTTTTCTGAAACTTGCCTCTTTTTGCCAGCATTTGTACTGATATGAAATCTGCCTTTTTCTTTACATACTGCTCGACTTCATCGTTTCAGTAATGTGCTGCTCTGTGCCTTCTAAGTTCGCATCGGGTCTCTCCCACGGTTAACTTCGCCCATCGCAGGATTACATCCGCGTTACTCTGACATTACTGTCTTTATTCCCGTGGATCTGGAACGCTAACATTTGGAATCCATTTTTCGCTTTCGAGAGATCCTTGTCCTCAGCTCGCTCTATGACGAAATGCTCCGCTTCCTTTCAAATACCTTCTTGGAAAGGTTAATGACTAGGAGAGATCTGTGTTGCGCAATCTTCGCATGGTAGAGCTTCAATATCATCCTGACAAACCTCAATTACGATCTTTTGTCAAGCGCCTGGTGCACTATCGATTACCTCTTTCGTAGTGAAAAGCCTCTTCCCATTGCCGAAGCGGCTATTTAGATCACCTTCATGATCAGAGCGGCTACTTTGTGCCAGCAATTTTTTGGAACATCTCGGTAAACAATTTGACCTTGACGGTCTCAATTAATCTAACATTCTGGACTGAGGTCATTCAGACTTCGGTAGCCCTCGATATTGTTCACAGAACTCAGACGGAGGTCCTGTGATGATAAGGGCGATGTTTTCTCCTTGCCAATGACAGCTTTTGAGGCAATGCATAGATTTGTTGTGACGGGGGGTCCTTTTTTCAGCGAGCCGGTCAACCTGGTTTGACCTTTATACAGACAATACTTCTAAAAATTTTGCAGGGCATGTTTTTCGCCTCGGCAGGGATCGAACTCCTGACCTTCATGAGCGAAGGCATAGGTCAACTCTCTTTAGCTATAGACAATATGTATATGAAACAATGCTAAAATCTAAGCACAAAAAATGTTATTTTCCGTGTTCTGGTATTTCATTAGATCGCGAAAACATAGGTGAGACGGAAGCTCCAAGTTCCCATGGAAAATTCGTCGTTGAGAGGAGTAACAGCCACAGTGATAAATATTATACTATGGGCTACCGAAGTTGAAGCTTATTGTATGGCAACAATTTTTTTACAGAGCAATGAGCAGTACAATTTAGAAACCAGCAGCTTGATTAATATAGCGACCTGATCGTATTGATGAAGCACCTGATCTCGACAATTTTTGAATGATGTCGTCAGCTGTGTCGATTACATCGCTCCAATATATCACCTCAACAACCCATCGATTCAAAGAAACTTTTCTCCCTTTCGGAAAATGCTTCGTCTGCTACTGCTGGCATTTGGTTTGTTTCATAGTTTAATTCCACAATTTGAAAATTGGTTTAGATCAAGCATGAGACATCTATGTACATAGACCACACTAAACTCCAAGCAGTATGCTGAGATGTTAGTGAGTTCATGCTAAGCCCTCGAATTACTTGTAGTCTGGTGCTCATTCTCAAAATTCTATGTCGAACATGCTCGTTGGTCAGATCTCTACAGCTTTGAGTAGTAATTGGAACAAACAACATAGTAAAGTATCTATCGTAAATGCAAGAACTGAAAAACTGCTCGGGAACTAGTTGATTTTGGGTTCCGAACTGTTCATATAATTCAGTGATCCCATTTAGTTTTCCAAAACATGCACTCTATTCTTCTTTTTAAGGGAATTGTGAAAATAGTAAGAACTCATGCTTTTGTTGTTCGAATGCCTCCTGCCTTCTCACTCTTTTTGAGTTGCAAACTAGGATTCGCGAAAATGGCGAACTACGAGGATCGTATATCATCCTTAGCACCCAATAGCTACGTATGCCCTCAAACTTTGCTGAAATGTTGAAAGCTTTCCCAAGCTGGTTTAACTAGCTGCGATGTCTTTATTTTTTCTATCAATCGTAGCGAGCGAGGACCGAGTGATAAAAGGAGCTGTGAAATCGGTTGGATGTGGAGCTAAATTGTTTTGTGCCACATATTGAACATATTGTCACATATATGTAGACATATTGTTCTTCATTGACTCCTGATACACTCGTTACGATCGGCCATAAGGGACAGTAACACTGGAGGTATATATGAATGTTCAACACAGTGAGTCCATTAACAAAGTCAAGTCCGTGTCAGACGAAGCTACAAAGTGTCTTAGTTATCAGAGGGCCAGAAAGGGGGGAATCACTGCCTACGTGTGTATGGCAACTAATGCTCAGAGCAAAAAATCTTTGGAACGTCCAAAACTCTAGAACTCATTTGCCGTTTCCAGCTTCCCTTTCCCTACTGGAACCTTTTGAGAGGAATTATCTTATTCTCCCAAGCCCACCTCGTGATATCTATGGCGCTGATCTTACCTATCTATGAACTATGTAAATAGTAACGAGTTCCCAAAGCTACCATCTTTCTTCACTG